GGTGTCCAGAATATTTCTCAATTTCGAGTGCATGTACTGTTGCTATCTTAACAATTATTTTTTTCCAGTTCCAAATTAAGCCAGAAATATCCAAGCTTGGTTGTATCAGGAGTGCTTGGCTGAAAACCTTGGGCCACATTATGAGCATTTAGCATTTAGCTGAACCTGGAGCCTTAATTTAGTTCTGAGTTGGTGGGAAATAACATTAAAGGTGAAATCAGTAGCCAATGAGTAATTTGCTAAACTTTCTGTGGCAGGTTTCACATCGGGCAGATAGTAGGAGTCTGCCCAAACCGGAAGCTGCATTCCATGTCACTTTCTTATGAGGACATTCTGAGAAAAGCTGATGGTGTGAAAGCTAATTAGTGTTCTTTTAAAATTTGAGACTTCTAAGGAATTATGGCCCTACTTTTTTCTTAGGACAAAGGGCTGTAGTGACAGAGAACAGTTCCACATGTGCTAGAACATGATAAAGCACTATGTTTGAGAATATGCACCTTGATATGAGAAGCCTATATTTAAAATCCCAGCCCCAACATATACCAGTTTCAAAATATCATGGAAGTCATTTAGCCTATTGGTCTTCAATTATCTTACATAGAATATGGGAATAAAAATATTCCCCTGACTTATAAACTTGTAAAAATTAAATGACATGCTATGTATAAAATCCCTAGCACCACTTAGGACACAAACCAACCATTCAAAAGATAGTGATGTTTCCCCCTATTAAGAGACAGAGTCATATAGGTAAGCCTAAGTCAAAATACTGGGGACTTCCTGACATGCATGTCTTAAATTTTAGAATGACATAGGGGAAAGAGGTCTCTAGAACACCTTTTCTTGGAAATCCTTAAAAATAATGCTGATTCTCATTTTTCATGTTGGCTTATATTGTCCTTTCATTTAGATTATAACTAATAATGAATTGCAACACCTTCTAAACCTGGAGGCAGTGCCTAAAATATATCCAAAATAATGTCTTCTGTTAAGAAGCAAGAAAGTTTACCTTTGCTCCTGTTCTTAAATGTGGTGCACTAATGCATATACTGGCTTCACTTAAATATCTGTTCATAGGTGTGGTTATTAATTGAATATAATGGGAAGGCTACAGGGAAATCAAATTAACTTCATTTCTTTATCACCACTTTGCCAGGATGTTGAGATATGGACTCACAGTCAAAACCATGTCCAAAGATCACATGTGTCTGCTTCCTCTTTATCGTGTTTTTTGCTGTAGTCAAAAGAAAGAACTGGGAGCACATGAGGATTTTTACTGTCATGGAGTAGCCAGGTGGAGAAGTGAGGTTATCATGGGTTACCTAAGAAACACAGAAATATTAGCTGCAACAGGGTGAGCTTCTTGACTAATAATGAAAACGTTTCCTGGAGTGCAGAATAGTCCTTGCTGAAGGATTTTTGAATGTCTCACTTTAATCAAAGCTGTGGTTTCAGCATTATGTTAAGCATTTTACTTAAAAATCCAACCTGGCCACTCTGGATTACTTTTCATGATATGTATGATAAGCATGTTTTATTAAGTAAATAAATCACTCCTAAATTAGTGGGATCAAGGGCATTTTATGGAAATCTGGAGAATATGGGTCATACCTTTAAAACAAAAGCATACCACAGAGTGTTGAAAATGTATGATAGTCTTGTGATATTGCAGTGTAAATGCACAAATTAATAAAATAATGAATGTTCATTGTAAATACTATCTACTACCTTGTCTACCACTCAGACTACATTAGGGTGGGAGAAGTGATTTGCACAAAAGGAATATATGACATGACCTTTTTGTTTAATCAGGGATATAACTTTTATATCACAATGAAAGGAATAATTATAGAGTTTGTATTATATAAATGTAGGGACCTCAAATTGTGGTATCGTTTCTACATAGCTTTTGAAATTCTGTGTATATTCCATTTCTTCTGTAGTAGCCTAAGCTGACCGCTACTTTTTTCATTGCAACTTTATCTAAGTCTCTCTTTGGATTTGCATACATGACAACTTTCTGTGGGCCTATTAGTCTGGATCAGCTTGTTAAGACATTTATGTTTATCAGAAGTTCTAAACCTTTCTGTGCTCAGGGCTACTTTGGTGTTTTAATGATATTTCGAAGATAACCTTTTGATTTTCACAATTCAGGTTTCTCATAATTTTCTTTATCATTCAGTGCTTACACATCTTCAGACTATCCTCCAGCTCCTAATGGCTGTTTCTTTCATGTCAAGTGATTGCTACTTCCCACTTATATTATCCAGACATTGCTATTTATTCTGCAATTTTCCTCAACTTCTGATTCCTGCCAACCAGTAGCAATTTCGGATAACTAACATTTTTCATATTATATAGAGTAGGGAAGAGTGGTGACACATGTATAATAGAGGAAAGCAAAATAAATTAGAGAGCTGAAACATTCACATAAAAATTTCCCTCAAACTTTGTACACCAGTTCTCAAACCTTAGCATGCAGTAGCATTACAGAGGCATAGTTCAAGAACTTCTGTCAAATGTGAGTTGAAATAATTTCTATACACTACTTAAATTAAAACAAAAGGCAACTCTTATTGCTCTGTGTCAAGGTGTTGATCCTCAGAGTCCTTGGAGATCCTCTAGGAGAATTCTAGGCATAGATGGTATTCATGAAATACTTTTCATTTCATGAGTGTCTGTGAAATTATATCTGGACTCTTGAGAGAATTCATTGGTCTCAGAAGATCACAAAAGGCTCATTTACCTACACACATTTTAAGGACCACCCCACAGATTCCATGCAGAGAAAGTCAAACCAACATATCTGAGGAAACATTGATATTAGAATAGATATTAGAATATAACAGAATGAGACCTTTCACACATGTTCAATACTTCTGTTCATTTTATGATTGATGGAATAATTCTACTGTTACTGTAATAACATTTGTAATCAATTATTCCACTTTTGGTGATTATTCACTGACTCCCACTAAGATGTTTATTGATCAAATAACCAGTCACAAAGTTTGGATGGAGTAGCTATTACAAGCCCGGCACTATGTTGGCTCATTGGTGTATCCCAAGATGGCAGTCCCTATTTGCAGGTAACCCTGGGTAAGGATGCTGACATCCACCGCTTTTAAGCTCCATAAGATTTAGAATTTTGCTTTTCTTGCACAAATTGGGTTTCATGTGCCTAGAAGAGTAATTACAGGAGCAGATCCAATGATTATTAAGGGAGTAGGCTGAATATCTCATGGATTTGCACTGTAAATGTCAAAATGATATTGCCAGATAAACAAAACATACACAGTGGCTGATTTGACAAAGTTCTTACACCTGGAAAGTACTGGTGAATAAACGCAGTAAGAGACCCAACTAATAATGCATGTTAATCAACTGAAAATTGACTAAATAAGAAAAACAAATTGAAGTTTAAATACGTAATAGTTTCAATTTTTTTAAAGTCCAGATAATTGGCACAGGAATAACTCAGTTAAAGGTTTATGGGCTAGGAAGATTACCTCTCCACCACATCCTTTCTTTAGCAAGCAATAATGTTGATGGCAAAGGATTCAGGAAATGAAAAGCATGCTGCCCAACCACACATATCCATCATGCTCCCATCAATAAGTGTGAAGCAAGCAAGCCCTTGCCTAGATTTAAAGATGATGAATCATCTGTCTAGTTTCAATAACATCAAGGGAATGCTCAGCTGGGGAAAGCTGAAACTCTTGCCATCCCCTGGATCCATTTAAACAAGTGCACCTTAGGAAAAGGAAGTAGGTTGGGGTTCCTAAGGAATCTAGTTTCTGAACACATTAACTCCTTCTTTATCCAGGAAAGAGTTATTTTTAATCTCAAAATTTCTCAAAATTATTTTATTTGTGTATAGATGCTATTTGAACAAATAATAAAGGATTTTCTTTTATATTGGGCTGTCCATGCATTGAAAATTGGATTTTTCTTTTAACATTATTTTCATGAAAATATATCCTTTCACATTTTAGAAGAAAGAGCATTTCTTCTTCTTGGGAAACACCTGTCTTGGGAATTCTTGGTTGTGCAGCTTCTGAGCATGCACAGGGTCAAGCATACAAATGGTGCAGTGACTCTCTTGGAAGTCACATTTGTCCCTGAAACTTCAGTCACCTGGAGACTGCATGCCTCATTGCCTGCAGCAGCTCAATCCTGACAGTGTAGAATGAGTTCAGAAACCACATTTGAGCAACAAAATTTGAAATGAGGGTCTAAAGAGACACAATATATTTAAGGTTGAAATACTCATTCTTTGCAATTTTTGCTGACCATGCAAATTTTTTTCTTTTCTATTGTTAAGTCATTATAATAATCATGCTTTGGTTTGGACATTTTATGGAAAAGAAAGGTAATAGGACTCAGTGAACTAGCACATAATGTAGGTGCAGATCCCTACTTTGATATGTAAAAAAATTTCTGCTTCTTTTGCTATGCAAACTCACATACACATAATTCCTGGAATCCCCACTACAGTCATAACCCACTGCTTTCAGACATACATTCACAGGGCACCAAAATACAAACTCCCTACATGTCAAAATCAAGCCAAGCTGAAGATGTAAATAGGTGGATATGGCACCAGGTGAGATGTGTAATCAGTAATAAGAAATACATTGAGCCCCATATGAAAAGAAATCCCCCAAATTGATCAGGATTCCCCCTCCCCCTTCCATTCACTGATTTATTAACCCTGAACAAAGATGTAATTGCAGGGTCTCAAAAACTTTTTTTTCCATTTTTTTTGGTTCATTTTTGGCAATTTTTTTTTGGTTTGGCATTGAATTTCTTTGTATCTATTCGTGCCATTCATTGCCTGTTTTCTTCGCTCGGTTGCCCATCTTTACCCCCCACCAGAAATGAAAGAAGCGTCAGCTTCCGAGTCTTAAGGATGAGACCTCTGCATTTTCTTTGCTTGTTTAGGGCAAGAAATGAAGTGCTGCCTCTTTAATTGGCAGAAGCATGCAGGAGGAGCATACCTTTAATTTAGTGTTGGGATACCTCACTTGCACCCTGGCTGTTGTCTTATTGGAGACGGCAGCCTGCCTGAGATCCTCTAGCACTGAAATAATATCATCCAGCACGCATTTCTTATCCTGATTTCTCAACACACACAGATGGGAAAAAGTATAATTATAGCCCTTGTGGTTCACCTTCATTTCCAGCACGGCTCGGTGGGTCTGCAGGATCCCCTCAGCCTGGAGCAAAATATTGTCCCCGGGTGGGGAGAGGAGGATCACCCTGCCATACCTCCCAGGGGTGTGTAAGTCCGAATAGAGCTGGCTTTTGGACTGGTCCAGGGGGAAAAGGCTGCTGGCCAGGCTGCGCTCGATCTTGGCCAGGCTGTGGCTGGGAGCGACCAGGCGCTCCAGGTCGCCCTCGGGCTGGAAGCGGTTGAGCGCGCTGAGGCCGAAGGTGATGGTCAGGACTGCGGGCACGGTGAGGAAAAAGACCGGGTGCCGGCTCACGCACAAGCCCAGCCTGTGGCAGAACGACTGGAGCCCTCTGCGAAGCACCTGCCGCAGCATCCTCCACCAGATCCAGCTCGCAGGCGCTCCCGGCCGTCTTAAAAAGCACATGTGACATGTGTAAGCGCCGGGCTACCCCTCTCTCCCCCATCCCCGTCCCTCGGGGGCCAGCCCCCCTCCCCACCGCCGCTGCTTCCCCACCCCCTCCACGCTCTCCCCCCTCCAACCGCTCCGCCTGGTCTTTCCCCGGCCCCACCTCCATGCGCTCCTACTACTCTTTCAAACACTGCAGCAAGTTGCAGCAAGGCGGGCAAATATCGACAGCGCGCGCGGGGGCGGGCAGCGGGCGCTGCGGGGGCGCCGCGGGCCCACCCCCTCCCCGGCCTCCCCGCGCCCTCGCCGCCTCCCGCGCTGCCTCTCACCGCATGAGCAGCGTTCCCTCGGTCTAGCCCTTCATCTCGGTGCTGCAGTCCCCCGGCCTCCCGCGCTGGAGGTGGTTCCGTGCGGAGCGTCCCACAGAGGTGGATTTCCTCTCGTTCCTGGTGGGGTTCGGTGCCTAACTGGAACCATGTGCCTCGGTGTTGTAAGAAGCAGACATGTGTCCCATGGGGGGAGGGAGGGAGGCGGGAGAAGTGAAGGGCGGGAGCAGGATTTTTTTTGGGGGGGGGGCGAGGGGATAGCTAAGCTTTTCTTTCTTTTTCTTTCTTTCTTTTTTCTTTTTCTCTTTTTAAATGCTGGCAGTTATTTTTAGAGTTTTGTTTTCCCTCTAACCTCCCGGGCAGAATGAATGAGAGAGGAAATGGGTGAAGTGCCAATAGCGCTCGCTGGGGAGGCAGCCCTCTTGCCCCTCTAGCTTCTCTGAGCCCTTGACTTGGGCTTTTTGTCAGAAGAAAAGGAACAGAGAGGATGATGCTGCATTTTTAACATACCACAAAGCATGCAAAGGATTTCTTTGCAATGCCTTCTGCCCTATCACCCCTGCAGGCTGGTCCCCTGGAGCTGAGGGCTACCAGAGATCCCACCCATTCGTGGTCTCCTGGGACTGCCTGCATCCCTTCTCTGCTTTGGTGACTGGAGAGGAAGCATTTGCACATAGAAGTGTGATTTAGGGTGTGTGTGTGTGTGTGTGTGTGTAAAGTGAAGATCTACGGGCAATATATGAACTTTCATTAAATCATTACATTCTGTACTTCTGAGGTTTAAGGATAGAGAATTCTTAAAGCTGGTTTCAGGCTCCTGGACATGCCCCCCCCCCCCTTTCCTCTTCCATCCCTCACTTCGGAGCACTTTTTCAAGCCATTTAACTTTGGATATCTTATTTCCTCCTGCAAGAATTTCAGAAACAAGCACTCCTTGACATACATTAGGTAGCGGTTTTTTTTTTTTTTTTTTTTTTTTTTTTTTTTTTTTTGCCTGAAGAGAGCTGGTCAGGGTGGGGAAACACACACATGATGTGACTTGAACAGGGGTGTCCTTCACCTTATGAGAGAGAACACTTCTACAAGGTACAGTTCCTCCCTTAGCACCCAGAGGTGTGAGAGTAAGGAACCCTCACCCTCAGATCAGATCAGCTTCAAATTTTGTTATTACTGTGTGCTTGTGTGTCTGTGTATCTTCCTTTTTTTTAAATTTTTGTTTTGTCTAGTTTAGATTTTCACCAGTGGATACTCTAGAAAGAATATAAAGACATATTGAGGACAAATTTTAAAGTTTGATTGTGGACTGGAGACCTGCTTTCCAAACTTTCTGTTCCCTTCAGAACAACTTCATAGAGAAGATTGGTCTTCGGGAGATGTTGCAAGCAGACTTTTTTAATAACAGAGAAAGGACCTGTTCTTCATTAGATGCCTAGAGAGGAACCCATCTATGCATACAAACAAGCCAAAGGACTCATCCTCTTAATAGAGGCCTTTTATTTTTTCTAGTGGAATTGATTCTTCATTTAAGAGGCCAATGAGACAGTAGAGGGCTCAGAAATAGGGGTGGTGCTTAAGGACAGATCTACAGCATGATGTTGTATACCAGATTAAAGAAAGATTCCATCCACTTAAATTTTTTTTGTCTTTCTGTGTCTGACTTTAATTTTTTCCTAGAAACTTTTTGTTTAAAGTATACACATTTCATGCATTTCATAAATACAACTTTAAGAACATCAGTGACCATTCAGTTTGAATTCCTACTGAGTACATGAATAATTTTTGTAATATCCGTGGTGGCTCTCCACTTGGTCCATGCTATACTAGCCACATCTAAGAACTCATTTATTTTTCTTGGAAGCCCATTCCATAGTTTGATTGCCTTTCCTTGTGTTCAGCTGAACAGAATTTCTTTGCAACATTCGTAGACCAGTATTTCCTCTCCTTTAGAGAGAAGAGGCACCTTGGCATCCAGTCGTCAGATCTTCCTATCATTTCATATAATGTATTCCATTAATGCCACATGATGGGGAGTTGTGGGTTATTTAGTAGAGGAAATGTGTCACACTCTATCGAGTTACATATACTTGGTCAATTTTCTAAGAAATAGCCATTTTGAAAAATATACAATAATAGATTTTAGGAATGTTGAATAATGATGTGGTCCATTTTAGAAATAAGGACACTAGGAACTATAGAGATTCAGACTTCAAAGCCACATTCAAAGTTAATTATGAAGCTCAGACTAGTGTCTGTGTTCTTTTCCCATTGTGTTTTCCCCGTAGTATCAGGCAGACCTACTTCTTTATTACAATGAGCAAACATGTCAGAATTCCTCTTTGCTCACTCTCTCCATTTGTCATATTTCCTTAGATTAAGAGATGTGTGAAGATTCCAATATATAATTAACAAAATAATATATGACATATCCTCAACATGAACTACTCTGATGTAATACAAATTGTATTGTAGGATTATAATGAAATGGAAATACATTCACTAATCATTAAGGGGGGAATTGTATATAGCATGAAACCACTTTGAAAAATAAAAATATGTGCATAGAAAAGGGATGAAATCTGTATTAAAATATTTGAGCTAATTACTAGATGATGGGATTGTGATTTTTTTAAAAAATAAACTTCTTAATTTTAATAAGTTTGATTATAGAAAATCTTCAGGTGGCACAGAAATTTCTTTATAAACCACATTCAGATTACCTTATAATTATCTTATATTGGTATGCCATAGTTGTTATAGTAATGAAACAATTCAGATATAATATTATCAATTGAATTCCATACTTTATCCAGATTTCTCATGTCCTTTTTTCTGTTCTAAGATCCACATTAAGCCGGCGCCACGGCTCACTAGGCTAATCCTCCACCTTGCAGCACCGGCACTCCGGGTTCTAGTCCCGGTCGGGGCATCGGATTCTGTCCCAGTTGCCCCCCTTCCAGGCCAGCTCTCTGCTGTGGCTCGGGAGTGCAGTGGAGGATGGCCCAAGTACTTGGGCCCTGCACCCCATGGGAGACCAGGATAAGTACCTGGCTCCTGCCTTCGGATCAGCGTGGTGCGCCAGCTGCAGCAGCCATTGGAGGGTGAACCAATGGCAAAAGGAAGACCTTTCTCTCTGTCTCTCTCACCGTCTACTCTGCCTGTCAAAAAAAAAAAAAAAAAATCCACATTAAGGATACCGCATTACATTCGGTAATCATGTCTCTTTAGGCCCCTTCTGGCTGGGTTGGTTTCTCAGACTTTTCTCGTCTTTGATGACCATGACAGCTTTGACGAGCACTAGTCAGATACTTTATAGAATGTTCCTCATTTTTTTTTGAATATTCTGATGTTTGCCTCATGATTTGACTCGGGATAAAGGTTTTGGAGAGGAAGAACGTGGAGATAAAGTGCCTTTCCATCACGTCATGTCAGTGTGATTAATTCTGTTGATTTGAACCATGATTCCCACCTAAAGTAGTGCTTGTTTAATAATTTATTGTCTTCCACACTGTATTCTTTGGAATAGAAATCACTATGTGCTGTTCATATTTGAGGAGTAGGGAATATACTCCACCTCCTTCCTCCTTGAGGTTGGAGTCTGTTTAAGTTATTTGGAATTCTCCTCAGAGTAACAGTATATTCTTTCTATTCATTCATTGAATCAATCTTTTATGCTGGTAGGGACTTGTGACTGTTTGCAGATATTTCTTTCTTTGCTTTTTACTTTGGGTTATAATTCAACTTTTTTGCTCAAATTGTTCCAAATTTGGCCATTGGGAATTCTTTCTGTTGACTACTGTGTCACTTTGTATACTGCATTATCTTGAGGTGCTGCTTTCTTTTTAAAAATATTCATGATTTTCTGATACTACAAAATGCCCCAGACTCATACTCTTGCATGTGTCCTGGAATCAGGACATTTCTTCAAAAAGCCCTGATTTTTGTTTTTGGAGAAAGATATTAAAAACAAGTATTTAGGTGCTAGATGTACTGGTTGTTATTGGGGTTTCATTGCTTCTAACTCCTGTCAACTGACAGAAAAAGGAAATTGTAGGTATATACAAATTTGTATATGTGCATATCTATAAATAGTTATTTATATACCTACATCTATATTAAGCTAGAAACGAGTTTATATTGATACCTCCAATTCTAATATGTTGTCAAATAGTACTTGCAGTCTCTTTCCCTTGCCTGTCTATATCCTTCAATTATAGGAGTGAAAAACCTCACTGTAAAGATGATTTTTAAATGTTTTTCTATACTAAGAGCATGTAAATTTTTATGAGAAAGTACTATTTAAAGGGAAGAGGAAAAACATGGTTGATTTATTTTGATATTGTAAAATGCTGATGCCAAATACGAGTAGGGATTCATTAGAAACATAAATTATATGCTAAAAATAAAAGAAATGAAATAGATATAATCACAAAGTAAATAAAAATAAAACGATAAAAATGGTAGCAATATTCCATATCAACCTACTGAGACATGGAGGGTATTAATTTCATGATAATACTTGCAAATCTGAATTCAAGTAAAGCTTAATACAAAGTTAAAATCAGTGGATTTAGGGGCCAGTTAGTCACAACACAATAATCTCCAATGTTTAGTTCACATAGGATTAATCTTTTCTGATATATGTACATCAATATTAGTATTCAAATCTTGTGCCCAAGTTGGAATTTTTTAGTCTCCTTTTGCAGCATGGGAGTTCAAAGGAACTGGGGTTGGGCTCAAAGCAGCTGAGGTCTAGGCCAGTTCCATAACTTACTGTCTGAAAATCTGGGGAAACATGCTTAATTTTCATATCCTCAGTTTCCTTATTTATAAGCTCAGATTACATTAATTCACTTGTTCAGATCAGTCATAGCACTATTCGTCAAAACTCTGTAAGGTTGCAATATTAATTAAAGCTGTAATATCAGCTATTGTGAAAACCAAGTCTCCAAAACTTGGTAATATGAAGCAATAAAAGTTTATATCTTGTTCAGGGTTAATAGTCCATTGTGAATATTCCTTACCAGCTGAGAAAGGCAGTGTGCAGAGGTTTCACTTTCATAAAGACACTCATCTACCTTCAACTGGTAACTTCCAGAGTCATTCTTAACTAGGGTCCCTTCCTATCCAACCAGCTGAAAGGGGAAAGGGGCCCAGAGGAGACACCTGGGAAGTTTCTATGGC